AAGGCAAAGCTGTTGGTTATTCTGATGTGTGTGTGTGCAGATAGGGGTGGAAATTACTGTACAAATCAATTCTGAAACTGAGAGGCGGATGTGGGATGTTTTAAACCTGCCTCCATTCAAATCTGCTGCTGAAGCATCACAACAAAACTTCATTAACAAAACATGATACCAGGCCCTATTCCTCCTCCTGTCTCCCGGTTCCTGCTGTAGGACAACTTCACTGACGGTAAGGAGATTTTTAATTTGCACCAGCATGAGACAGTGGAGAAGGATGTCTGTGATCTCTACAAAGGCATTAGCATCCTCTCCTCCGGGACTTCTGGGCTCACAGCTAATTCCCTGGGAGCCTGCACAAGCTACAGACCAGCTCCTGTCCCACAGCCCCAGGGCACAGCACGTCTCTCTCTCTCATTCTGCACTCCTCAGAAGTTACCGTCTTCTTCACGCATAAACTAACCCCAGATCGGTGCATGTAGCTGGAGTGGGCTGCCGTGAAATGGGGTAGGGTCTTTTTTGTGCTCACGTGTGGCTGCTAACCAGAGACACAGGTTAATGCTTAATTCTATACTCAAAAAAGAGCATCTCACAGCTGGCAGGAACCCAACAGGACACTGTGTAGCCAGATGCCAAGCCCCAGTTCCCTCCCTCTCTTGCTCCAGCCCGTTGGATTCCTGGGCAGGGAGCATCACCACGGTACTGAGCCCCTTCTGCAGCTCTCCCTGCAATTTTTGGCTAATGCAAGATCAGTCCTGAAGCAGCCAAAATGGTTTCTCTGCTACACTTTTAAGGGAAAGCTGCAGTTTTAAACCACAAATTAAATTTTTAATGAAACTTCATAACTGTTGTACCCAAATGTAATGTAATATTGATAGGAACTGTGCATCCAGCTAGCATGAGATTGCCCTAGAAAGCTTTTTAGGATGTTATGCAATATATAGCTAAATTAATTATTTGTAATGAAAGGATCTGTGTCCCTATAGCATCACTGAGTCCTACTAGTACAAAGAACACACTCCTCATTCTCACTGGATGTAAATGTCAGGCAATTTAGAAGGAAACCGACTTTTGAGAGGGGAACAATGAAAGAAAGGGAAGGAAAAAAGGGGAGAGAGTGAATGTGTGTGAGAGAGAGAGAGAGGGAGAGAAACAGAGAGGGAGAGATCTGCAAAGAAAGACTGCAGCAAAATGCAGCAAATTTCCGAACTCCAGTCCAAAGTGTTTGTCTGCTACAGAAGGGAATACTCCACCTTACACACACTGTATTTGTACAAGCTACACACCATGCTCAAGCTGTTCTAATGACAGCTGTAGATTTTAGAAGGTGTAAAAAAAAAAGATTTTGCATATGCACTATTCTGCAAACTTAACGACGGAGCAGCTCGGAGATGCGTGCTGGTTCTGTGCGTCTCGTCTGGCTGCACAAGGCAAAGGGCTTTGGGAAGGATCCTGCTCCCTCCACATATGGGCTCCGCACAGACAGCGGTGCGGTAGTGTGACCAGAGGTCCTGTTGTTGCTGTAGTCCCCCTGAGAACAAGCTTTTATATTAAAAAAAACCCAACAGAACAGCCTCATAGCCACTGCCACGTCCTGCTTTAAGCATGTTGGGGATGGGGGTGTGCAGGCAGGGGCTGGAGTGGACGATCCCTCTGGGAACCTCAGAGAGAACACGGGCACAACCAGCCGCTCAGCTGCGTACCAGCTAGATGCACAAACAAAAGGATTTCTCGCTCAGTGAAGTCTACCCATTACTGTTTCCCATCGCAAAGCTGTCTTCATCCCATAATGGATCATATTGTTCCCACTCCGCAGAGGAGACTTAAATGCGGAATCAGCATTACCCCACAGGAGATGTTTTATGTACAGCAGGCTGCACAAACAGGAGAGAAACCTTCTACTCCCTGCTCCCTAGGGCTCCAGCTCCTGGGATTAAAGAGATTTGTCCACTTAAAAAAAAAGTCCTTTACGCATTTGTAACTCTGCTGTTCTCACACAAAGGTTAGCATTGAACAGATTGAATATTTGCATACCTCACCTCTGCACTGGACAACTGGCGGTGGCAGAGGGCACTGGGAGCCAGGGCTTCTGGTCCCTGGAGGGAGCACCCTGGACTGTCCAAAATGATACTCGTCCATCACAAACACAAATGTGCCTGCTGGCTCCTGTTCAGAACTAAATCATCTCCAAGGGTCCTTGATAGCTGTGCTCAGCTCTTTTCAGCTACAGAGCAATAAATCAGCTAGCTACAGAGCGCGCTTTGGAAGAGGAAAGAGAAGAGTTAAAAATAATAGGGGCTCCATTATTCCATTATACCCACACAGCTCCTAAACCTACAAAAGCAGCAACGGATCCTACTGCATGATTCAGTGGTTCTGGGAAAGCTGAAATCTTGATCATATTTTCTAGTTCTTTCTTTGCATTAGGAGACACAGGGGTTATTTTGCTTATCTATTGTAGTGCAGCTTTGTTGTTTTTTCCTATCTAGGTGTTTATACGGTCTCCATCACCATAGTATCAGAGTGTTTATTTTATTGCACCTGTCACCTTGGTCTCATCTCAGCATAATGTACTGTGGATGACAAAAGATTCCTAGTCAAATAGGTTCAGTGACATGAACAGCTTTGCCGATACCATGCAGATGTTAACAGAAGCGGGTACCAATTCAGCTGCCTCTCAGACCAGTTCTACACTGGGTGTAATTGTATTGCCTGCAGTAACATTATTTTTGGTTTGCGTTCCTGCCTGTGGCAGAAGAATTAGACCTGCAGTCTTTTCAGCCTTTTCCATAGCATCCTTTTTCTGAAAAAAACAAATCAAACAAAAAAAAAACCAACCCAACCCAACCCCAAACCAACCCCAAAACCAAACCAGCACAGAAGGGAGACTGGTCTGCCCAGTAAAACACATCCTGCCTGTTCCCCTCCTTAACTCCTCTCTGCTCCATTCCCGTTGCATTGAAATGCTCTACAGCACAGAGAGCAAACAGCAGGAAAAGTAACCAGGGCAATAAAGCCAGAAGCGAAGAACCTAGTCGAAATGCAGATTTTCCCCCAGAATTTCCTGAAGCAAAGCACACAGCACCAGAGATGAGCTCCTCATGGGTTTCAGGGGGCTCTGAACTGCTGTGCGGGGGCAGGATCAGCAGTAAGAACCAGAAGCCTTAGGAAGGCTACAAAGAACAAGTCTCTGCGGTGCCCATAAGCACTGGGACAGGTTGGATGGAAGGCAGCAACGAAAGCACCGCAGGATCCCAGAGAAGGTGCTACAGAGGTGCTGAGCACTCTGGCACATCTCTGTACTTCTTGGCCACTTGTGTCCCAGCCCTGCCCTGGTTCCCCTGGGCTGGGCATCAATGGCCATACCCAGCCACGGCAGACAACTGGGGGGTTTGCCAACCCTGCCATCCCCTTTCTGCTGGGCCTGATGACAACCCCAACCCTCTGGGTTTGGCCATGAAATGCTGTTTTAACTGTAACCCACAGAGCACTGCTGGGTGAGGAAAGGGGCCTCGCAAAAGCAGCTCAGGTGCCTTTGAGAAGGAAACGCTCTATGCCAAGGTAGTGTGTCATAAAACTCTTGGGGCTAGACAAACACCTGCAACAGAAAAGGCATCAAACTGAGCCACGCAGCCACAGGTCTTGCTGCGAGCCACTCGCTGCGCTCCAGCTCCTGGAGAGGGCTCATCAGGCCCAAATCACAGGGGAGACAAAGGGGGGAAAGGACCACGGAGCGGTAGTACTTCGTCTTTTGCGGATCCATGGACTGAAAGTTTGTATTTTACTGACCCACTTTGCTAATCAAAATTAATTGCTTCATATTTCACAGGGAAATACTCCAGCCATATGGACTGCTGCAGCGCAGGTTGGGTAGAGCAGGCAGTGAACTGAACCGAGAGGACCAAATTCACCTATGGTACAGTCAGAAGCACGTTTAGCCAGGCAGCCTGCTAGCTAAACCTCTCAGCAGTTTAGGTTATTTCCTAACACGATACAATATCACGGAGAGAAGACCAGGATAAAACCAACAGGTAGAAGACCCTCAAGGAGCCGGGGCTGCGGGGCCGGCCCGGTCCTGCTCCTGCTCAGGTGTCCTGGCCAAGGGAAAGCTGCGGGGAACAAATTCAGGGAGAAGCCGCTCGCTCGCTTCTCGGGGACTGAAGAGGAATTGGCCTTGGTTGAAGTGCTGAAAGATGAGAAAAGCGGCGGTTCTGATGGCCACGAACTTATTTCCACCAAGGACAGATCCAACCACTGCCTGGCGATTTTTTTTCTTCCCGATTAAAAAGGAAGAAGAAAAGCAGCAGTCGCTCTCCTCTGCCCACGGCAGAGCTGTGCACCAACACCCCTTTGCCGCACCTCGTTCCTGGGGACACGCAGCCACCGGTGGGCGCCCACCGGGGCCGCAGCCCCCCACCCTCCTGCCCTCCCACCCCCCCGGCAACCCCCCCAGCACTCGGCTTCGCCCCCGACCGAGCTGCTTGGGCTGGAGGGCAGAGCCCC